CATTTCCACCCACAGAGTGTGACATTCATTTTTACTTTTGTTTGTTGACCTCCAGAGGTCTCATAAATTGGTAGAGACACAGGTGGATAATCTGACAAAACCAGCAAGTCACAGGAAAGATGGGCAAGTCACAGAAAAGGACATTTGATTTTTAAATGAACAGTTGGCATTGGTAAACATACACAGAGATCAGGGCAGCAAAACATTTTTCACCCTCTGGCTTGGCTCACATTCAAAAGGACAACAGCTTCCAGTGTGGCTGCCCTGTGGGAACAGGGATTCGCAGCCAGGGAGGCACAGCCACTCGAGAGAAAGCCAACAGGCAAGTTGTACAAACACTGGGATATGCCACTGATCCAGCAGCCTGCATTTTCAGTGCAGAGGGAAACAAAGGCCCCACTAAGTTAGGACACATTGGAGCTGTGGCTCAAGTAACAGAGCATCAACCTTGAGTGAAAAAGCTAAGGAATAGGCCCTGAGTTCAAACCCTAGTACTGAGGGAGGGAGGTGCGCGTGTGCGTGCATGCACGTGTGCTCCTACACACACACTATGAATTAAATCTAAAAGCTGAGCACTGATAACTCACACCTGTCATCCTTACCACTCAGGAGGCTGAGATCATGGGATTGAGGCTCAAAAGCAGCTCAGGCAGATAAATCTGTGAGACTTCTCTCCAATTAACCAGCAAAAAGCTGGAAGTGGAGCTGTGGCTTAAGTGGTAGAGTGCTAGCCCTGAGCAAAAAAGGCTGAGTGACAGCTCAAGGCCCTAAGTTCAAGTCCCAGTACTGGTACACACAAAAAGGAAGGCTGTTTATTGTGTCAGTGCTTGCAGGAGTAGGGAGCCTTGGTGAGAGGAACCTGGGAGTCATATTAAAGCAAGGTTCCCACCCCTGGATGAGAGGCACACGAATCATCTCCATGGAATATTATGCAGCGCTCAAAAGATTTCCTACATATTGACTAGGAGGTATAGCCCTGATATTTTATTCCATGGAAAAGAGTAAGCTGTAGAGCAATGTATACCATAGGCTTTAATATTTATTTTTAAAACGAGAAAACATACACATATGGATGTTGTAATGATAAACATGTATACCTACATAGACATTCATGGTTTCAGAAGCATGAGATTTAGGAAGGACTGAAAATATGTCATATCTGGTGCTTGATGCCTCACGACTGTAATCCTAGCTACTCAGAAAGATGAGATCTGAGGATCACAGTTCAAAGCCAGTCTGGGCCGATGAACCCCAGACTCTTCTCTCCAATTAACCACCCAAAAGCCAGAAGTGGAGCTGTGGCTTTAAGTGGTAGACCACTAGCCTTGGGCACAAAAGCTCAGGGACAGTGTCCAGGCCCTTAGTTCGAGCCCCAGGATGGCACCAAAACAAAAAGCAAAAAAAAACAAAAAACAAAAAAAACCCAAACAAACGAGAAAACGCGTACTCTAACCACACAGGACCCCAGCGAAGATCAAAGAGGTAAAGCATAAGCTAGTAATTTGTAAACTCCAGAGCAATGCTCCTTAATGCTGGTTGCTTTTCCTTGGAGAGTTTTAAAACCCCTGATGCTGCACCCAGACTGCTTCAGTCATATCTCTGGGGAGAGCAGCTGGCCTGGGGTTGTTTTCAGAACTGCCCAGGTGGTGGCCTGGCTGGCGCTGGGGTAGTTTGCTGAGAACCCCAGATCTGGAATAATCACTGGATTCTGAAATAATAGTTGGTCGTGGGACAAGTGGACTTGACTTGAAGCTGATCTGGGGGTGGGGGTCATTGTCTTTTCCCCTAAGATTCAGTAACTGAACAATTGGAGCTAAAAGGTTAGAGGTGAGCAAGTCTGAAGTGCATTCCAAGTCACACGGCCGGGTCACAACATGGATGCTTAGAAGCAGCTCAGGCCTGGCTCACCCCACACCTTTTTCTTAAGACCTACATTCCTGGTGCTGTGTTTCTGAACTTTAAGGAGGACCAGAAAATGTCCTCAGGATTCCTCTGCATTGACATTGTGCTGATTTTTATCATGGGTGAGTTTACTAGCCACCATTTATTTTATCTCCGGCCTTCATTGACTGGATGCACCTGCTGCACAGTGACAGCATACAGACAGCCTCCTAGTGTGAGTCCAGCAGGCCTGGGTTTTATTTAGTGTGTTTCTAGTCATAGCTGTGGAGCTGGTGTCTGGCTGCCATGCTGGGTATTGGCAGGGCCCAGAGATGCACAACAGCCAAATGGAGCAGCCTATCAGGTCTAGAGACATGTGGGCAGTCGGAGATGGTGGGAAACACATGAAGAGATAAATAGTTATTGTTTTTTGGTTGTTCACTTGTTAGTTTTTGCCAGTCCTGGAACTTGAACTCACGTCCTAGGCTCTGTGCCTGAGTTCTTTTTGCTCAAGGCTAGTGCTTTACCACTTTAAGGCACAGTGCCACTTCTGGTTTTTGAGTGGTTAATTGGAGATAAGAGTCTCAAGGGGACTTTTCTGCCTGGGCTGGCCTCAAACTGCAATCCTCAGATCTCAGCCTCCCGGGTAGCTAGGATTACAGGCATGAGCCATGGGTGCCCGGCTCAGACTTTTTTTTTTGTCAGTCATGGGGCCTGAACTCTGGGCCTGGGGGCGCTGTCCCTCAGCTTTTCAGCTCAGGGCTAGCGCTCTACCACTTGAGCCACAGTGCCACTTCCAGCGTTTTCCACATACGTGGTACTGAGGAATTGAACCCAGGGCCTCATGCATGCAAGGCAAGCACTTTATCACTGAGCCATCTTCCCAGCCCAGACTTTTTTTTTTAAGCTCTTTATTTGGCCTAGTCATACCCTTCCCAGTGAATCCTAAGGAAAGAAACGGAGCAAACCTCTCAAACCCAGCTGGAACTATACATTAAGTGTGCACAACCAGAAGATGATCATCAGTAAGTAGCACCTGTAAGAAAAGAAAAAAGCAGGAAGGGCGAACTCAACAGATCAACAGACTTTATTTGTGAGGAAAGATAGGAAGGGTGACCATATCTCCTTCAGCCTGGCTGAACTGGAAGTGTTGCCAGCATGTTTCCCTGCCCCACCCACAATGAGGCCTTCTTTAACTATTAGGCAGAAAGTGAAGTCAGGTGGGGTGGGCGGAAGTGGGGTGGGTAAGCAGTGTTATCTTGACTGAGGCGTTTCAAGGTCTTGCATCTGTGTGCTCCAGGGGTGTCAGCGTCAGACCTGGCCTCCGTCTCAGGTCTCTCTTCTCCAAAACTTCAGCAGAGGTTTGTTTGGGGAGAAGGGGAGGGGCGATGATTCAGCGGGGACCTCAGCAAGGGCAGTTCTACAATACAGCCATCAGGGGCGAAGGGGAGTGCGTTCAAGTTAAGTCATTTTCCATCCACACCCCCAGAATGTTAGTGAATCACATGTGAATCAGTAACTGACTCGATGTCCACGTGAAAGCCGATTTGGGGGCCAGGTCTGATGCTGCAGGATGCACCTGTGGTTCTAGTGTCTTGGGAGGTGGAGGTAAGAGGATCATGGGAGAAGGCCAGCCTGCATGGAAACGGAACCAACCCAAAGGAGAAATTCCATGCAAAAGAGCTGAAGTTGTGGTGACCTGAGTGGTAGAACACTTGCCTAGTGAGTGTGAGGCCCTGAGTTTTCAATCTCCAGTACTCTAAAAAATAAAAAAGCTGATTTGTACACGATGACAAGGTGAGGTCATCAGCGGGGTCGCTGGGTGAAGCAGACCAAGATGCCTCCAAATATCAGAAGGCCATCAGGGGAGAGACAGGTTGTATTTCTCTGTGTGGTTCCACACAGAGCTGACTTCTGAAATCTCCTTGGGACATTAAAAATCCAGTGGTACCTTAGGGTGCTTTCCAAGTTTGCACTTTTAGGGGCCTTGTCTGTCTAGGAGCTGGAGGCATAAGGTGATCATTCATTCACAGTGTGACTAGGAATCCCGTTCTTTTCTTCCGAACCCTTTCGTCCTCTCCCCCCTTCCCCTGCATCAGCTGATTAAGGCAGCCCTCCTGGTCTGCCCTGTGAAATCCGAGATTTATAAATGTTATCTCAGATCGCTGCCTCCTCCACCGGAGGCACCACTGATACGTGGAGGAAGAACCAGTTTCCACCCAGAAAAATGTAGCTCTGCGGAGAATCCAGCCTTTTGTTTGGAAAGGCAAATCAAGAAAAGCCTCTTGGTAGGGAGAAATTTTGCTTTAAGTCTTTGTTACATGTTCTTCTTCTGTGCTGTTCTTCTCCTTGGAAACACAAATCCAGATTCTTCTTTGCGTCCAGATGGAAGAAACTGAGGCCTGAAGGGGTAAAGTGATTGGCTCCAAGGTCCCTGGGACCTTGGGCCCCAAGCACCCAGCCTGGGGACGTCTCTACTTCCCCACAGATTGAGAAGTTTCCCCAGGGAAAGAATGGAGATTCTAGTGAATCCAGGGCCGTGGGCAGCTAGAAATTGGACCTTGAAGGGGGAAGCAGCCCCAGATCCATTATGACACTCTTCTTCAGATATTTTACCCGGCTTTCAAAACCTGCCACCAAAAAACCCCCCAAAGTAGGCTGCCTGTTTTTGGTCCATCCACCTATCTTCCCTGGACAAGGCTAGGCCTGGCCCTCTTTCTCAACACTCAGCTTCCTGGGGTCCAGAATGGGTAGCTCAGCTTCTGCTCCAAGAAGCAGCTGCAGGACGCACAGGTGGCTCCTTCACCGGCACGGCCTGGGCTGACCGGGCCCACAAGCCAGGGCCTTGGCTCAAAATGCACTGCAAATTTCAAGTCTGAGACAGGACTGCGTGACACCTAGTGTGGGTGGGCCTGGGTCCCACGTGGCCTGGGGACAGGGCTGTATCTGTGGGAGCCCCTGGCTCGGGGGACCAGGCCCCTTCCCGATCCTGTCCACGTCCTCTGTCCCGGGGCCCACAGGCTCCCCGCGCCGCCGGGAGCGCTTTAGCCTGCTCTCCGCCTGGCACGGGCCCTCCACCTCCCCGAGCACTGCTGGCCGAGTCCTCGCTGAATGGCGCAGGAGTAGCGAGGGCTGAAGATGGAAGATTCGCCCCGGGCCCGGTGGGCGGCTGTCCGAGGCCGGGCCTGGGCGGGAGCGGAGCGCGCAGCGCCGTGCGCGGTGCCCATGCGCCCCCCGGTGCCCCCGCGGGGTGCTGCACCTCCTGCCCCCCCACCCCCCAGCTTCCAGAAAGCTCGGGCCGCGGTCGGGGCGTTCTGAGGGCGTGAGTCACGCAGGTCTGCAGCCGGCCCCCAAGGGGGTGTGCGCGGGCCGAGCTATAAAGGCGGCGCCTCCCCGGGACGCGGCTGCCTCGCCGGGAAGAGCGCGTCGAGCCGAGCGGTGAGCGGGCGCCCCGCGTTCCCTTCGCCGGGCGGGGGTGCGGCGGGGCGCGGCGGGGGCTCGGGGTGCGGCGGGGGTGGGGGACGTTCCCTTCGCCACGGCGGGGGCTCGGGGCGCGGCGGAGGAGGTGCGGCGGGAGCCGGGGGTGGGCTGGGGTGGGCGCGGGGCGCTGCGGGGCGCGGCGGGGGGGGGGACCGCGATGTCCCGCGTTCCCTTCGCCGCGGCGGGGGCCCGGGGCGCGGTAGGGCGCGGCGGAGGAGGTGCGGCGGGGACCCAGGGGGCGCGGAGAGGACCTGCGCCACAGACAGCGCCCCGAAGGCGCAGCCAGGGCCGGGATGGGGGCCCTGTGTTCCTCGGCTCAGATCGCAGTTTGATGGGTGTATGTGGGAGCTTGACGCGCGCGCGGGGCGGAGGCCGCGGGGACCCAGGCTGGGGGACCAGGCTGGGGGGCGGAGGCCGCGGGGACCCGGGCTGGGGGACCGGGCTGCGGGACCGGGCTGCGGGGCAGAGGCGGTGCGGGGACCAGGCTGCGGGGCGGAGGCCGCGGGGACCCAGGCTGGGGGACCAGGCTGCGGGACCAGGCTGCGGGGCGGAGGCCGCGGGGACCAGGCTGCGGGACCAGGCTGCGGGGCGGAGGCCGCGGGGACCCAGGCTGGGGGACCAGGCTGCGGGACCAGGCTGCGGGGCGGAGGCCGCGGGGACCCGGCTGCAGGGGGGCCCCCCGCGGCCGGCCCTCGGGGAGGTGCGGGGCTCCGCTGCGCTGCGGGGCTCCTCCGCCCTCCGCATCTCCTAGTGAGCCTGGCGTGGATCCGAGCGTGAGCCGTGACCACGCACCTGGCGCAGACTCGGCCCGTGCGGTGCCGGCTGCAGAAGTCAAGGCCCTCGGCCCCTAGGCATTGCCAGCCCAGGCCTGCAGGGGCGCAGGGATTCCCGCGCCAGCAGTAAGCCAGGGTCGGAGCTGGGCCCAGAAACGAAGCTTCTTGACCTTCCAGAAACTTCTGGACCTGGCAAAAAATAAAAAGTTGCTACTAACCCCCCTCCCACTACATTATATGTATATAAAATACAATATAATACATACTATAGTATTATTTGACATATATTAAGGAATATATAATAGGTATATATATATATATATTAAGGATACCAAATACCAAAATGAGCTACTTGAGTCCCCACCCTTGCGAGACTAGTACAGCTGCAGTGTGATATAAGGAAGAGAAGACAGCCCCAAAAACAGGCCTTTCCATTATCTTTTACACCCTTTACACGGGATGCAAAGGACGCGGTAAGTGGAGGGAAATGCGGCACAAGGCCCGGGCCTGGGAGCAGCCCTGGCCCGGGGTCCGTGGTGTTGGCGCTGCTGACACACTCAGGCAGTTGGCCGGTGCGGATCTAGCCCCAGGTGAGACTGGCCAGGTGACCTCTGCAGAGGGCAGGCTTTGTTCTCTGGCTGTCCTTGAACCTGCACCATAGGCTCATGACCGGAACCAGCGTGAGGCAGCGTCGGAGCACATGGGGCCTCAGCGAATGGCTCGGGCCCTCAGCCTCCCTCCAGGAACGTGGTTAGAAGATGCTGACAATGTCCAGGGCAGGTCTTTGGTCAGATTTTGAATGAGTCAGTGTTTACTATGATTATGTAAGATATTTGCATTTATAGAACACACTCACTTTCTGAGGTCTGTCCCCGCCCACTTTACAGATCAGGAAACCGAGGGTGCTGGGGATCCGTAGCTAACATCTGTAATCCTAGCTATAGAGGAGGCTGAGATCTGAGGATCACAAATCAAAGCTGGCCCAGGCAGGAAAGTTTATTAGACTCTTATCTCCAACAAAAAAAGTTGGGAATGGAGCAGTGGCTCAAATAATAGAGCACCAGCCTTGAGTGACATAGCTAAGGGACAATGCCCAGGTCCTGAGTTCTAGCCCCAGTCCAGTGTTTGTGTGTGTGTGTGTGTGTGTGTGTGTGTGTGTGTGTGTGTGTGGCTGCCTCCAGGTGTGTCACCTGTGATCAGCATAGATTTCCCTCTGCCCCCAGCTAGGACACAGTTGGATTAGATAATTCATAAAACCCAGCAAGGTGAAGTCTGGCCTCCTGCTTCAGGTCTGCACCCCTGTCAGGGAGACCCCTCTTTCCTCACTGTCTTCCTGCTTTGCCCACAGGCTGTCTTAGCAATGTAGCCTCTGCCCATCTGGCTTACTGACTCAATCCTAAAGCAGCTTCTTCTGGTGTTCTGTCTCTTCATGACACTCTGCAGCCATTGGACTTAGGAAACCAAGATGCCATGGGGCGTCTTAGGACTTGGCTCTCCTCTCCTTCCCCTGATAAGTGTTTACCTGAACCATAGGCTGTGAGGGGCTGGAGGAACTGAGATCTACTTCTTGTTAGATGCTATAGGTAATGATACTGTATGCCTCTGTGTGCTAAACTTACTTTATGGCAATAAGTGGAAGTCTTCAAGCTAGAATAAGCAACAAAAAGTATAAAAACAGAGGCTGGAGGCTGGGAAGGTGGCTTAGTGGTAGAGTGCTTGCCTTGCATGCATGAAGTCCTGGGTTCGATTCCTCAGCACCACATACACAGAAAAAGCCAAAAGAGGCTCTGTGGCTCAAGTGGTAGAGTGCTAACCTTAAGCAAAAGCAGCTCAGGGACAGCACCCAGGCCCTGAGTTCAAGCCCAGAACTGGCAAACAACAACAACAATGGAGGCTGGGAGATTTAAGGACTCCATGTCAAGGAACGAGGACTAGGCCAAGAAGGAGACTTGGAAGGCCAGGTTCTCACCCTGGAGTGGCACCAGCCTGCCCTGGCCCTGTCTTTGGGCTTTGGTCTCCCAGTGAAGGTGGAAGGGTGGCTGGAGAATGACCTTCTGATGGCTCTCCAGGCTGGGGCACCCCCTGCCCCTGTCCCAGGCCCTGCCCCTCTTCAGCAGTGCCCAACACTGTCTTCTGGTTGGAACCGTTGGTGAGGATTTGAGCTGGATTTCCCAGAAGCAGTCATTCTGGGGGCCTCTTCCGGTGAGGTATTTCTGACTGGCTTTATCTCTCCACTTCAGAGGCTCCGTCTCTGCCAGAGGCATGTCAGGACTGAGTGAGCAGCTGGGCAGAGGCGTTGAGATCAAGGCCTTCTCGGTGGGCCTGAGGCCCCGTGGGCTTAGCCACGCACCCATGGTTGGGGAACCGGCCCCTGTCTCTTCTCCCATGTCATCCCTTTGCTCTGTGTAGCATATGTCCCCCTTATTAATGATCTACCAGCATCCAGGTGGGCTTTCTGGACTGAGTAGTCTCTAGACGTGAACCATTTCAGGAAGGGTTCCCTTTCTTCTTCCTGTGGCTATGGGAACCAATTCAGCAGTTCTGGGCAGGGTTGGGGGGCCAGGAGGAGGAGGTTCCGATTTATGCAACAGCTCCAGCTTCTGGAACAGGGTCTATTGTGTAAGACCAGGGCTACGGCGCATGTCCTCTGGCTCAGAACGGCCAGCTCCGTGGTAGCAGGAGCCCCTTGGCAACCCAAAGTGGTGCAGGCTTAGAGGGCACAGGCCGTGTGAAAGGGACCAGGCAGAGCCAAGGGGCACATTCCCCCCACCCTCCAGCTTTCCTAGGGAGGCTGCTCGTTGGGCTCACTGTTAGCCCTTCCCTTTCTTGCCTTACTTTTAATTGATATCTTCGAATCTGCAATGCAGCCCAGCCCAAGCCTCCCATGAGGGATGCCAGATGTCCTGTACCAACCAAAAGGGAGGGATGTTACTGCCTCAGACTCTTGAAAAGCACATTCAGATGGCGCTGGGGCTCCAAGTGGGGGGGGGGGGGGAGCATGGAACTATGATTGATTGGTAATGTCTGCTGTGGGTGAGGGTGCAGTCCTACTTCACAAGAAGAGGGAGGGAAGGTTGAGAGAATGAAAAGGGAGGCATTCGTAAGATTTGATAGGCTTCGTGCCCTTTTGGAACAAGGAGGCCAGGATTCAGGAAGCTTCTGTGCTGGCCTGGTGCCCAGCTCCTGAGTTTCTCTGTGTGGCTGTTCTGTGGCCCCTCCCGGCACGGCCTGCCTTCACTTCCTTCAAAGTGACAGCGGCAGATCTGATCTTTTCTTCCAAGTTCCTCGGGGTAACTGCAGTGGTGCCAGCTGAGGGGCAGCTGAGGGCCACTTGTCCCCCGCCTCTGGAAGTTGAGGCAGCCAAGCAGCAGACTGCCCAGTGGTTACCGTGACAGTCGATCTTCTGTTCTCTCCAAACACAGACCTGCTAGGATTCCAGAATTGGAGGTGGCCATACCATGAAGATTCTCCTGCTGTGCGTGGGGCTGCTGCTGACCTGGGAGAGCGGACAGGTCCAGGGACAGCAGCTGGTCTCCGACAATGAGCTCCAGGGCAAGTACCACTGTGGGGCCCGCTGTTCATGGTAGTGAACGCAGCCTGGCACAAGCAAAACTGCAAGAGTATTTAAAGCATACGTAATGCAATAATGAATGGGGTTGTGGCTCAAATGGTGGAGTGCCTGCCGAGCAAGCTCAAGGTGTCCTAAGTTTAAAACCCCAGTACAGCCACAAACAAAACAAGTACCCCAGACTTGCAGGGGTGTGGCAGTATACGCCTGTAATCACAGCTACTGAGGAGGCAGAAATAGGAGAATCGTAGGCCTAGGCTGATTTGGGCAAAAACCTAAGAATCTATCTGAAAAACAAGCTAACGCAAAAATAGATGGAGATAGAGAGAGTGCAAGATGTTCACTAGGCCTGGGTGTGAGTACACCCACCGTGCCCCAGCTGCAGACTCCCCAGGCTGTCTCCAGCTCATCCTAGTGTTTGGCTTCATTGAGGTATAATTATCAAATACAAATGTTGTCCTGTGCTAAGCAACCTGATGCTGTGGTACACACACACACACACACACACACACGGTGACAGTCACTATCAAGCTACTTAGTAGTTACCTGGACTTTTGTGGTGAACACTCCAGGTCTCTCAGCAATCTTCAGGCGCAGAACATATGTGGTACAGCCTGGCTGTGCCCCGAGACCCCTCTGGGGTTCCATACCTTTTGCCCTGCCCTCTTCCCTCTCTCCCCTTGGACTCAACAGTGGTGCTGGAAGTCATAGATCACATGTGCACCAAGGGCCGGGCATGGGGTAGGCACAGTGCGAGGGACCTGAGTGGTAGGGCCTCCTGGTGCCCCGGTGCTGTGCCGTGGTGCCAGTCCCCGTGGTGAACAGAGCCGTGTAATCATTGCCCCGCCCCAGTCCCTGAGTGCTGTGCTCAGGAACCAAGTCCAGATGTTTCCACAAAGATTTGTATCCCAAATACCAAGAAGTTCTTCTGTTTCGAGTCTTAAAAGCTAACACACCTGGGTTTAGTGTCTCTCCCTCCCCCGCCTTGGAAACTGTCCCCTGGTTCTTCGGGGCCACGTGGCAGTGGCGGGCATAGGGCACGGTCCCCTGGGGCATGATGGGACATTGGGCTGTTCAGTGGGGTGGGGTTAGAAGGGCCTGGCCTTGACTTCCCCTGGCCTGAGCAGGCCTTTCTGACAGTCCAGCTGGCGCCAGGGTTATCTCCCAGCATCCTCTCTTCCTCTCCCCTCCCTCTGTCTCCGGCCTGCTGTTACAGAAATGTCCTCCCAAGGGAGCCAGTATATCACTAAGGAGATTCAAAACGCCGTCCAGGGAGTGAAAGAGATCAAGACTCTAATAGAGAAAACGAATGAAGAGCGCAAGTCGTTGCTGACCACCTTGGAGAAGGCAAAGAAAAAGAAGGAGGTGAGCGGAGCCCTGCCCTGGCTCTCCCTGCTGGAGGGGAAAGAAAGGGGTCCTGGTAGGCATCTTGCAAGGTTGCCATGGTGATCTGTGGTTTTCCCAGGGCAGTGTCAGCTGATGCTGGGGGCTGTAGGGAAGGGGTAGAGAGAAAAGCATTTGCTTTTGAAAGCCTGCGGGTGGGGGAGGGGGGGGATCTTGGATCTGGTTCTGGTACAAGGCTGGTCCTGGGCCTGATGCCTGGATCATTTCAATTGATTTTTCTAAATCCTGACCTTGTACAAGCTCCAAGATCAGCCCTGGAGTGCGGGCGTGGGGCGAGGCTGTGGTGGTGGTGGTGATGTAGGAGGGGCTAGCAGTGTTAACATCTGATCTACCCTTACTGTTCTTACACTTCTTTCACAGTCTCTGTTCAAAATTTAAAACTTATACTGTAAGTGTCCCTTGTAACCATGTGTTAATGGATACTTACCCACCTTCTGCACATGGTGTAGCCCCCTTAACCACAAACAATCTGCCCTGAGACCCCAATGGCAGCCTGAAGCCATGCAGGGTACCAAGCCCTGTGCATGTTATGTTTATTCATATATATATATATATATATATATATATATATTATGTCTCCGTGGTAGTTTAATTTGTAGATTATTCACGCAAGAGAAACAGAACAACAACAAAACAGAACAACTACGCTGTAATAAAAATTGTGTGACAGCAGTCTTTGCACTGTAGTGATACTTTTGTATTATAAGTTTATAATCTTTAAGTAGTTGTACAGAGGGGTTTCAATTCAGCATGTCGCTGTGTGGTACAATGCACCTCCATCGTGTCACCCCTCCATCCTTCTCCCGCTCCTCTCCCAGCCCCACCTGCCCCCTGGTTTTCCTAGTTCCATTTTCACATGTGTACATTGAGTTGTAGTCATATTTTGGGGTTGTGGCTGACCAAGGAGAGCTGATAAGGGAGGAACTACTGTACCACGATTGGTTGAACGTGTCCTTGACTTTTGAGCATTTAGGTTGGTTCTGACATACACGCTCGCTCTCTCTCTCTCTCTCTCTCACACACACACACACACACGTAAATATATACTTACCATAAGTGAATACTGTGATGAACATCTTCGGGCCTTTATTTGGGAGGCCTTTGGGATAACCTGTGACAGTTACCCATCTGACATGACCGTGAGTGTGAGTCTCCGTGGTTGACGTGATGCTGACTCCTTTGCACACCAGGGACCACAGTTAGAATAGAGTCAGGAGATCTGGGAGCTGCTGGTCGGTTGGGGAGGCGCCTTCAACACTAGGTGCTGAGCGCAGGGAATGCAGGACATGGGAGCGGGAAATCCTTGGATAGACGATCCGCAGTGTCCAGGGAAATCCTTGGATAGACGATCGGCAGTGTCCAGAGAGAGGAGGGGTCTGGGTCAGTCCTGCAGGTGGGGGAAGACGCAGGAAACAGCTGGCGGTGGGGGAACAAGAGGACGCTGACAGCCAGGTGTGGAGAGCGGTCCAGGAAGATGGATGAAGGAAGGCTGGGCTCACAGGGCTGACCACGGAGGGCCTCGGGCCGCTGGTGTGAACGGGCGGGGCGGGGTTGGGAAGAGGAAAGCCTGTGGTCTGTGTGGCTCACCTGGTCTCTTGGCTTCCTGTAGGATGCCCTGGAAGACACAAGGGACTCTGAGAAGAAGCTGAAGGAATTGCCAGACGTGTGCAACGAGACCATGACGGCGCTGTGGGAGGAGTGCAAGCCCTGCCTGAAGCAGACCTGCATGAAGTTCTATGCCCGCGTCTGCAGAAGCGGCTCCGGCCTGGTGGGCAGGCAGGTGAGGGGGAGCCACGGCTTCGAGGCAGGGGAGGACCTCGCGCCTGCTTAGGTGAGAGGAATTTAGAATTGTTGGTGTGTTCGTGGGGATTCTGATGTGAGTCTCAGGGCAGTGATTCATGCCTGTAATCTCCGCTAGGCAGGGAACACAGGTAGGAGAATGGCTGTCGAAGGGCAAAAGCGTGAGACTCTATCTGAAAAATAACCTGAGCCGGACCACTGGGTCGGCCCTCACTGCGTCTCTCGCCCGCTCCCTAGCTGGAGGAGTTCCTGAACCAGAGCTCGCCCTTCTACTTCTGGATGAACGGGGACCGCATCGACTCCCTGCTGGAGAACGACCGGCAGCAGAGCCACGTCCTGGACGTCATGCAGGACAGCTTCACGCGGACGTCCCGGATCATGGATACCCTGTTCCAGGACCGCTTCTTCTCCCACGAGCCCCAGGACACCCGCTACTTCTCGCCCTTTGGCCTCTTCCACCGGAGGCCTTACTACTTCTTCCCCAAGTCGCGCCTGGTCCGCAGCCTCAGGCCTCTGTCCCCGTACGGACACATGGACTTCCCGGATCTGTTCCAGCCCTTCTTCGACATGATCCACCAGGCCCAGCAAGCCATGGACGTCCCGTTCCACAGCCCGGCCTTCCAGTCCCCCAGCATGGACGGCACAGGAGGTCAGGGAGGGCTCTTCTCTTTCTTCCCAACAAGGGGTGGGAGCCTGTCAGATGCTGGGCTCAGTAGTTGTCATCGCTGTGTTGCCTAGCAACCCACAAGGGTGGTGCCCGCCCCATTGAAAGAAGAAGGGGACCAAGGCAGAGTAGTAAAGGGAAAACCAGTACTGCAGGGCGGGCGGTGTGGGATTGTCATGTTGATGGTCATCCAAGCAATCGTGAGCTGCTTTCGCTTGGGTACTCTGGGGAATATGGTGTGGTTGCCATAGCAATGAGTTATACCACAGCCTGTGTTGCACTTCAGGAAGGTATTCGTGGCTGGGACCTTAGGGTCTGGCTGGGGATGGGTGCTCAATGCATAGACAGACAGACAGACAGACAGATGAATAAAGGGTAACAGGAATGTGAGTAGGCAGCACTTGAGTGCTTTTCTTTCTCAATGCTTGCCCAACAAGGGTCCTGTACCACATGGTTCTCCTGGCCCCCGGGCTTGGCTTGAGATGTCCTGGAAATACCACCGGGTGGGGAGATTGCACTGTCAGCTCTTTTTTTTTTTTTTTTGGGTCCGGTCGTGGGGCCTGAACTCTGGGCCTGGGCGCTGTCCCTCAGCTCTTCAGCTCAAGGCTAGCGCTCTACCACTCAAGCCACAGCGCCACTTCCGGCTTTTTTCTTTTTGCTTATGTGGTGCTGAGGAATGGAACCCAGGGCCTCAGGCATGCAAGGCAAGCGCCCTACCACTGAGCCACCTTCCCAGCCTATGCACTGTCAGCTCTGTCAGGGGGAGCCCTGTAGTGTTACGTGGAGCTCGGTTAGTGTCAGGGGTACAGGAGCTGTAAGGGGGATGCCTACCTGGGTTCCAGAGACTGAGCAGTCCCGCGGAGAGCGATGGGCCGGGTATAGCACACAGCGTGGAGGAGGCCGTGATGCCGAAGCGAAGCATGCGCAGTGAGGGCCTGGGGCAGGCGAGGGAGGCAGGGAGGCATCACACGATGCCCAGGGCAAAGGCCCAGGCCAGTGGGTGAACGACCAAAGTCTGACGCTCCCTGACTCAGAGAACATCGGAGAGGACCACGCAGCAGCATGGAGGGCGTGGAGACAGCCATGGGCCCACGAGCAGGGCCCAGACATGGGTGGGCCCACTTGCCAATCACTGACGCTTCCCCCGCCCCTCTCTCCCGCAGAGGGCAGCGATGACCGGGCGGTGTGCAAGGAGATCCGCCGGAACTCCACGGGATGCCTCAAGATGAAGGACCAGTGCCAGAAGTGCCAGGAGATCTTGTCTGTGGGTGAGTCGGCGGGGCCGGCCGCTGGGGCGGGCCACCAGCAGCTCACAGGGCGGCCTCAACGCCGAGTTCTGCTGTGGGCAACCTAGCCTCAGCCCAGAGCAGACCCGTAACCTGTGGGCCTGGCTTCACACGCAGGGGCCGAAGCTCAGCGAGGTCCCTGTAAAGCACTCACCCCTGGGCCAGTCCCAGGTGAAGCAGTTTGGACAGAGCACCCCCCTTTCCCCGGTGCTCTTCTTCCACAGTGCCAAGCGCAGGAGATGGGCGACATTTCACTTGCACATTCTGAGAGTTGAGGTAGAATGCATGTTAGCCGGGCAGGGGTGGCTCATGCCAGGATCATAGGATCCTGGTTCAAACCCATGATTCCTGGCAGACGAATCCGTTCAGCTGATGTTCTACCCCCTTCCCCCAAGACCTTTTTTATTTTTTCGATGAAGGAAACAGCATCTTTGTCCACCTTTGTCTTTATCCACGCTTTGTTTGTATCGGGGACCATAACCAATTGCTTGTGAAGGAGCCAGGAGCTGGGTTCTGTCCTTCGAACTTCCCCGACACGTTCCACCTTTCTGCCTGCCGAGTGAGTGTGTTGTATTTCTCTCTTCTCTGGGCAGACTGTTCCGCCAGCAGCCCTGCGCAGGCCCAGCTGCGGCAGGAGCTGAACGAGTCCCTGCAGATGGCGGAGAGGATGACCCAGGAGTACAACCGGCTGCTCCAGTCCTACCAGACCAAGGTGCTCAACACCTCCGCGCTCCTGGAGCAGCTGAACCAGCAGTTTAACTGGGTGTCCCGGCTAGCCAACCTCACGCAGGGGGAAGACCAGGCTTATCTCCGGGTTTCTACAGTAAGTTTTGTCGCCGCCAGGGGTAGGATGCTGGGGACACTGGTGGTGGGGAGGTGACTTGAGCCTCTCAGGATGGAAATGGGGCCACTTAGAACTTTGGATGGGCATTGATCTCAGGGCAGGATAACGGGAAAACCGTCCAATCATAGCTGCCCTGATGGGCAGAGGGAGAGCCCCCATGGCTGGTGGGAGATTGGAGAACTGTGGTTGATGCGCCAGGGGCACTGCGCCTGGACTGCTTCTCTGCCCTGTACTGTGGAAAGGCGCATGAAGCCCGGCCTTGTTCTCTTGTCAGGGAGAGCAGCTTCTCTCAGTGCTGGAAGCGTCTCTGTGTCCCCTTTTCTGTCTTGATTCCTTTCAAACACAGACCGGCCAGCTGCTGTGTAAAGGAACACTTCGGGGACTGCTCTTCTCTCCGGGGCAGCCGGCCGCGTTTGCGGCAGGCACGGTCCCCCGGAGTGGGCCTCTGTGAATGATTAGCAACAAGCCACCCCCAGCCATCCCCAGGCCACGGGAGGACTTGGCATCCGGGGCCTAAATCGCGGTGTGCGCGGCTGCAGCCAGGACACGGCGGCTCTTTCCTTGCCTTTCTGTCCAGGTGACGACCCACACTTCCGACTCGGACACCCCCTCCCGCGTGACGGAGGTGGTGGTGAAGCTCTTTGACTCTGATCCCATCACAGTGGTTCTCCCCGAAGAAGTCTCTATGGACAACCCCAAATTTATGGACACAGTGGCAGAGAAAGCCCTGCAGGAATACCGCAGGAAGGACCGGTAAGCAGGCAGCCTTTTTGTGACTCTTGGTAAGTGGGTCACCCCTCTTGTGATTCTCTGGGGCGCAGGCAAAGGGCCGAGCCCACGGAGGAGCTAGGAAAGCACGGGGAATTTTATGGTTTCCTTTGGGGAATGTTCTTCCTAGGTGGATAAGAAGGGGGGTGCGCTGGTGCCTCGGTGACCCCTCCTCCTCCCCTGCCTCCCTCTTTTCCAGGGAGGAATGACACACAAGCACTGCTCCTGCTGCTTTTCTACATGCAGGGGCCTTGGGGTGCGGCTCCCCAAGGTGAGCCCCGGGCCCCCCAGATAGAGCTCTGCATGTCCGCGTGGCCAGCCCCCAGCCCACCGGCCTCTCCTCCCTCTGGACTGCACTCTAACCGCCTGCGGCTGCGTGCTTCCCCATGCAACTAATTCAATAAAACTGCTGTCGTCAGAGTACTCCCGGCTCCTCTTCCCCGCGACTTTCCACCTCCCACATGCCTCCATTTTGGTAGGAGGAAGAAAAGGAGAGAAATAGAGTAAGAAATGTAGTGGCCAGGGGTCTGGGATTGTAGCTCACTGGGCCCTGGGTTTGATCCCCCTGGTCTACACACACACACACACACACACACACACACAACAATAACAATAACAAAAAATTTTAAAGTAGTATCTGAGCTGGTGCAGGGGTAGAATATCATACGGTGGAGAATAAGGTTATGCATGACAGAGTTGACTGAATTCAACAATTTCTGTGTGTGTGTATGTGTGTGTGTGTATGTGCATGTGTGTGCACGTGTGTGCACACATGTGCCAGAACTGGGACTTGCATTCAGGGCTTGGAGTTCTTGCTTGGATTCTTTTTTCCCCCACAAGGTTCTACTACTTGAGCCACACCTCCACGACCAGCTTTTTGCTGGTTAGTTGGAGATAAAGAGTCTTGTGAACTTTCCTGCCCAGGCTGGCCTCAAACCATAATCATCAGATTTCAGCCTCCCGAGTAGCTAGGATTATAGGCGTGAGCCACCAGTGTCTGGCTGACTGCTTCTTATTTGGGGCAGCAAGACCAGGTTATCAAAGCGAGCTCCTTGCTGTGAGAACTCGGCGGACTCGCTTGAGGGACGACGTTGGGTATCAGGGCAAAGAGGGTGATCATAGGCACATGGGCCTTTTAACACACAGAAGCTAGTTTGCAAAAGATCAAGTGGATTTAGAACCCCGTGCGTGGGGCCCTCCACCCCCTAGCCCTCCCCTCCATGCTCCAAAGACAGGTTCCCAATGGTGGCTGCTCATGCTGGAGAATACTGAGCTGCAGTACCCAATCTTGCCAGCAGGTGACACTGGTCAACCATGGTACAAATGTCACTTAAAAAAAGCCTCAAACTGGTCATTTATTATGGATTTCTGTCCATTAAATATACTGCAAATCTTGTTATATCCCAGACCGGCAGCAAGTGCTTTAGCAGCTCAAGATACTTTTAGTTACCTGCCTTGTCTTTTAAGGTATAAAATAGGCCTGGGTCCTGTAAGCCACACATTTATAAGGTTTAGCTGAAGTCTTCTGGTGTTTTAGTATTGATTTCAAGGAAAAAGCAGAGTAAAATCAATAGACAGCTAATCATGCCCTAGTTAGGGTTATGAGGTCAGAAGGGATTTGTTTAAACAGACCTAATTGTAAAACTTACACATTGCGTCAATGTCATAAAACATGTTTGAGGCCTTATTTGTTCTTTTCTGGTCTGGAGTTGCTAGATTCTGGCAGTCACTCTATCCAGGACTTGGGGTTCTCTTCATGTACCCATTTAAAGCTCACACGTGACTGTGCTAAAAGTCTGAGGCTCCCAGGAGCCTCCTTGCTCCACGCCCTTCCCCCCTGTGCCAGGGACTGGGTTTCAGGGTTGGGCGGGGCTGAGCCACTGTCTCCAACCTCCGTTCCAGCCGAGGCCTTGGCCACAGCACAGCACCGCCTCCTCTGGGTTTGTATACAAATGCGTGTGGCCAATGTCCATTTTTCATGGTTTGGGATTTTCGGGAAATGACGGGGCCTCTCTTGACCTCTGAACGGCCCTGATGTGTCAGAAGCCGGGGGAGCAGACCAGCGGAAGGCAGCAGGCCCAGTCTGCCTGCTTCCCTGGCTCCCTCGGGGGCGTGGGTTCCTCCCAGTCTTCCCTGCCAAGGCATCGATACTCGGTGGTTTTTCTTCCATTCTTCGATGAGTGCCTGCCTTTGTCCTTCCCAAACAGCTCTGCTGTATGGTTCAAAGGTTACAAGCCTACCCACCGCCAGCCCCTCCCACCAGGTGGCCTGGTCTGCTCGGCCAGTTTCGAGGCAGCACCCATGGGAGGTGTTCCAGGCACCCGTGGGAGGTGAGGCGGCTCTGTCTTGGGCATGTAAATGTCCCGCGTCTTTGCAGCTGGGGAGAAGCTGGTGGCCAGGTAGCCGCATCTCATGGGACCCGCGGGGCTCTCCTGGCCCCTCTTTTTCTTGGAGTGGAGGGCACGCGGGGAGAAGCTGCCACCATGCGTGAGATCTGCCCGTTTCCTTTTGGCGGGCAACCTCTCACCCTAAATCCAACCTCGAGGGGCCATGCTGTGCCGTGAGGTAGTTCCCCCTTGGCGGGGAGGTGTGGGAAGTTCTCCTACTCCATTCTAGATTCTTGGAGGCTGCAGCCCTGGGTCTCAGCCCCTGCGGCCGCCCCAGGCCTTCCTGTCGGAGATGAGGAGAGAGAGTTGGCCACCAGGGGGCAGCGCGGGCTAGGGACGCCGCCTCAGGTTCAGCGGATTGGGGGGGGGGGGGGGACTTGGAACAGGTGCTAGTCAGAACCAAGAAAGCTCAGTAACAGGCCATCTGCAGGAGGCCAGTTTTTGGGTTCAGAACACAACACTTAAAGTCTAAAGGACTTTGCCGGGAGAATTTTCTAGATGGATGACCTTCAGGCAAAGTAAGATCCAGATCAAAGAATAGATTGTATTTATCAAAAGCCCAAACCCCAAAGGACACACAGGTTTCCTGGCAACCGGAACAGCTGTTTCTAGAACATTTGATTGCTTCTCTCTTCTGAACTTCTGCGCTGAACCTCGAGCTTTGGGCTGAAGCCATTGTGTGTGGGCTCCCTTACTTCTTCTAGTTGAGTACTTGTGAGGTGCCAACTCCCCCCCCCCAAAAAAAAAACCACCATGGAGCAGTCCCAGTACCCTTTCCTGCCAAAGCAGAAATGTCACTCAGGATTTAGGAAATAATACTGGGGCTGGGAAGGTGGCTCAGTGGTAGAGCGCTTGCCTTGTATGCATGAGGCCCTGGGTTCAATTCCTCAGCACCACATAAGCAAAAAGTAAAAAACCAGAAGTGGCACTGTGGCTCAAGTGGTAGAGCGCTAGCCTCGAGCTGAAGAGCTGAGGGACAGCGCCCAGGCCCAGAGTTCAGGCCCCACGACCGGACCCAAAAAAAAAAAACATTACTTAACAATTTAAAACATAGTGACCTGGGGCTGGGAAGGTGGCTCAGTGGTAGAGCACTTGCCTAGCATGCATGAAGCCCTGGGTTCCATTCCTCAGTACCACACAAACAGAAAAAGCCAGAAGTGGTGCTGTGGCTCAAGTGGTAGAGTGCTAGCCTTGGGAAGAAGAAGCTCAGGGACAGTGTCCAGGCCCTGAGTTCAAGTCTCAGAACTGGCACACACAATAAAACCCGGAAACATAGTGTCCTAATGGAATAGGATGCAGATTCATAGCATATAAGAATTAAAATGTAAGCCATCTAAACTAGCGCAGTGAGGCCTGTTTGGTGGGGAAAACGGAAGACATCGCCTGCTATCTTGCTGTGTGACACGAGATGAGAGTCTTCGTCTCTCTGAGCCCGTTTCCTCGTGTGCAGAGGGGCGGGGCTGGCGGGGTGGCTGGACTTGAGGATTTCTGAGGCCTCAGGGGTTAGCTGGCTGGGCATTTCTTCTCCCTGGTTTCACCCCTGCAAAAACACAAGGACTGATGGGAAAGACCAAACAAAAGCAAAAGGATGGAGGGAGTCGCTTCAGTGGGAGAGCAACAACACTTAGTAGTTCTCACAAAATGAAATGAAGGAGAAGAAGGAGGAGGAGGAAGAGAGGGGAGGGGAGGAGAAGGAGGAGGAAGGAGGGGAGAAGGAGGAGGAAGAGGAAGCAGAGAAAAGAGGAGGAGGAGGAGGAAGAGGAGGAGGAGAAAGGGAGGGGTGAGGCTGATGGAAGCATGGCAGGCTGAGCCCGGGGCTCTGGCAGGCGCAGGGCTGAGTGGTGGGTCATCCATGGTGTGGAAGGCCTTGGTTCCCCCCTCGCCCGGCAGCGGGCTCCCTGGCGTCTTCCCCCTCAGGCTGTGGAGAATGCGGGGAGCACTCACTCACGGCTCCACCACCTGCTTGCCCTGCGGGACCATGCCATTCCCGCAGCCAGGCCCGCGTTCCCAGCAGCGGAGCACAGGGCCCACGTCCACACAGGACTTAGCTTCTGCTTCCCGAATGTTCGTTATTGTTGACATTGATCCGGATGAGACCGGAGTCTGAGGCCCCAGGCCTAAACGAGGGGATCCCCATGGAAGTCTGACCACTCACCCCAACACCATGGGGGGGGCAGAGGAGGGAGCAATGCCCCCCCCAATGGACAGGCTGTATGGAGGGACAAAGGCAGCCCATCCGCCTGTTTCCAGGACAGACACGTGGGTTTTTGGATTAAATAGACAAAAAACGTGTGCAGGTGGCAAAAGGAATGGGTAATTATTCACAGTCCAGGCCAGGGCACGGTGCGGATCAGCTGAGTGGTTCTGGCGAAGCTCCCACTTTGACCACTTGAGGGGAGCGATCTGGTCAGGAGTCACCGCTGCCTGGGAATAGAAGAATGTTTAGACCAATCCTGATGTTGGCAGTGGATTACAGGGGCCTGGGGCTCCGTCCAAGGCCTGCTGTTCCTTTCCTTGGGGTGGTTCCATCCCTTGTGGTCAGATGCCGGCCCTCCAGGACTTCAGGGGGTGGCCCGGGACTGCGGAGAGAATGCCGAGCGAAGACAGACGCGCTGCAGAAGCCCTGACGTTCATCGAGCTTTCCTCCTGCTTCTAGTTCATTCATGGGCCCAATAACCAGCGAGTGCTTTTTAGCAAAAGCAGATTTTGAACACAGGCAACGTAGCGGGCGTGAAGGGGGACTCAGGATGTGGAAGGGCATTTCCTTAGCGATGCTGTGAGCACCTCTTCACGCAGCATCGCCATTTGGCTACCGTTAGACAAAGCTCTACTGAACTCAGCGGCACGTTTGTTGATATTGCATGGTTTTTATTGAGTTCTTATATTCTGCACAGCAGTCCCTTCTGGCTACCTGTTGAAAAGACCCATTTCTCAAAGGCAGGAGGATAGCTTGTTTCTTTTAACTCCTGCACAGGACTTGGCCCACGGGTGACCTTCACAGAACATTCCCGAAGGCCACAAAGTATGAAACTAAGT